AGAGTGAGTTATTCTTATATTGTTTTATGTTGTTTAATAAGGAAAAAAACAATCTCATTTTTGTCACTTAACCTTCTAGATACAAAGGTGGAGAGCTCATGGAAATCGAATTCATAGCAAAAATGTTTTTCTATATAATTAGTCTTAATGTAAATTGGATCTATATTTGGATTAGTAAATCTAAACGTCTTTTATGACAAATTATGATAGTATCAAATTAATTCTTAAACCTACAGTTAAACTGAAAAAGTAAGTTCTTTCACAAGGGTGAGAGATGCGTTAGTTTATAAAATATAATTGGCATCACTAATTAAAGTTAAATTTACAACAACAAAAACACGGGTAATCTAACCAAAAGACAAAAGTTAAATTCAAAATAATAAATCACGAAGAATTGTGTGAAGATCAAAGCCTGCTTCGGGAAAGTACAAGAATCAGACAAGTTAGTTTAAAATAAATTGGACCACAAGTTATTTGAAGAAAAAAAAAGTAAAACCCAAAATTTTAAATCACGAAGAATTGTATGAAGATCAAAGCCTTCTTCGGGAAAGTAAAAGAATCAGACAAGTTAGTTTAAAATAAATTGGACCACAAGTTATTTGAAAAAAAAAAAGTAAAACCCAAAATTATAAATCACGAAGAATTGTATGAAGTTCAAAGCCTGCTTCGGGAAAGTACAAGAATCAGACAAGTTAGTTTAAAATAAATTGGACCAAGTTATTTGAAAAAAAAAAAAAGAAACAAGCGACAGCTTCCCCTGTGACTTCCGGGTGTTTAAAAAAAAAAAACATGGACTACAAATATTTTCATGGCCGTCAGTCAAACTGGATGTGACATCAGCCCTGACCTACCTGGACAGTGACAGAGACTACAAGCAAGTAGTCGTGACAGTCGAATGAGAAGGGGAGGGGGTGTACGCTTTAATACAGAGGCGTAGCGAGGGCAGACCGCACCGGGTGACACCATTGCAAAAAAAAAATGTACAGAAAAAAATGCTTTTTGCCAGTTCTATTAATGATTAGTTCAAGTTAAATAGTCTTATGTACAAATCGACAATTATTACAAGAGGGTGGAGGTGACACCATGACGTAAACGTGCTAACTATAGAGAAAACAATGCTACATCCAACTGTAATATTAACAGATTATAGATAAACATGGTTGCTATTAATTCTGCAGTGATTAAAGCTTATACACATACACACAACATATATATATATATATATATATATATATAGTTTCTTGGGCTGACACCACCAAGTGCCGCACCGGGTGACACCCGACCTAGCGACGCCACTGCCTTAATATAGTCAAATGGTGATTAACAGAACAGGCAGAGGTTATAGCTAGAGACAGGACGAAATGGCACTGGCTTGTTGATACACCATGCGGAAATGGACGTTGAGAGATGGCAGTAAAACAAAACAAGGAAAGATGTATCAGAGGAAAAATGTGATTGATTTGTTATTCTGTCACGTCAGTCAAGAGAATGTGGTATTGTTTTAACTGGGCAAGGTTGGGTTCGTGGCCGAATTCAATAGACGAAAGGGCACGCTTTTGTTTAACAAGTCATCTAAAAACAACAATTAGCACTAGTGTAAAAGATGATCCTGAAAAGAAACTATTACAAAACAAATCAGAACTAAAGGAAGGAAGTCTTGACCTTTAAAAGACACCTATATATCAAACCACACCCCGGGAAAGGAGAAGCTGAATCATATGGTGCCGGTAAAACGCATGAAATTATAAGTTTAAGTTAACAGTTTAAAAAATTAAAGACATATTTTAAAAAATAAAGTTTAGGATTAGATTTTACAGCCGGTGGCTTTGGGGAGATTAAGGACAATTAGTTAAGACATTAGTTTAACGACAGGATATAAGACAGCGCACACACAGCAAATGGATAGGTAGATCAGGCTCAGGATATGCACTGTTTGCTACAAATTTACAAAACGTCACAAAATTTGTCGGAAAATAGAGATGTGAAGCGTAGGGTAACGTTTTATTTCAGTCTGTCAAGTTGTGACTGTCATATTTTGACTGTCATGTATTAACTGGCTGACATAGTTTGACTGCCATGTGTTAACTGTCTGTCATGGTTTGACTGTCTAAAGCTGTCAGTGCCAAACAAAACCAGTGAATACGTATAGACGTTACAACTTCTCCCTACGCTGTTACATATAAACCCTTGAGATCAAATTAGCTGAGGGCCGCAATAGCTTCAGCCATTGAACTAGAACAGTGTAACCTAATGAACAAAATAAGCTGGGCCTTCCACGGAACAGTCTAACCTAACTAGTACAATAGAACACCGGCTGTGTATAAGTCTAGCGTTTGTGACATGGCGTCCATTTGAACCCCCACATTGAAGCGAAAGACATAGAAGTCAATGACAACTATCAACACAACATCAACACCCTGTCACTGTGATAGCGTTCAACGTTTCAGCATACACGATATACACTGCCAATGGATCTCAAACTGGCATCACATGACTTTCACGTCAACTAAGGAAACACAAAAAAATAACGCAACTGGTTCACAAACGAACAAATTCCTACAACCCACAATTTGCCATCCACTGATGACCTCGAAACAGTACATTAATTTTTTAGGATAATGTGTGTCACATCAAATGACACATGGGGCCGCAAATGACATGTGAATGTCACAACACACAAAACTCATCCCTGTATACTTTCTTTGTTAAATTTAGGGCTACTGGCACCGTCAATGAGGTCAAACATTTAGAGCACCTGTTATTTTTGTTCCAGTTCCGAATGTTTACATTACGGTAATAAAAATAGGTCGCGGAAGCTTCGCAACTGCACTATGTGCCTGTCATGTTGGCTTGGGCATGTTATAACATTAGGTCTTTCATGGTCTACAATCGTAAGAGAGAATCAGGGATAAGAATCGCACTAAACTATAAGGGGCAAGAATCAACATTATGAGGGGAGCCAAAATGTTGTGAGCTACTTTGTCGGGGGCCAGTATGTCGGGAGAATATATGTCGCGAGTCAATAAGAAGGGAGCCAATATGTCGGAGCTCTTTTGAATGGGTCGGTTTGTCGGGGGTCGATTTGTCGACGCTGTTTTTGACGATGCAAAAGGATAAAAAAAATCGCACTTCATTATACTGGGCTTGAAGCTGGTTAAAATATCAGCGGCAAGGATTGCATTACATTATCTAGGGCTTGAACTTATAACAATATCAAGGGCAAGAATCGCAATACATTATCTAGGACTTTGAGCTTACAACAATATCAGGGGAGAGAATCGCACTTCAATATCAGGGAGGAGGCATGGCAAGAAACCAATTATGAAAATAAAAACTTTCGACGCCTCCTTTTAATAAACATGTATGCTGGAAAGGAAGTAAATTCGTGAATTGTATAGAATTAAATCCAATGTCGCAGCCAAGTGGATGGGGAGGGGGGAGGGAGCAGCCAAGTGTATTGGGGAGTGGGGGTGAAGCAGCCATGTCTATTGGGGGGGGGGGGATAAAATTTAAACTTACTAAACTATGAATCCTTAGGCGCAGTGTATACTCGCTAGATTGCTCGGCGTTGAGAATTCGGGAGGCCTAACTTACGGGTTGTTTTTTTTCTTTTAACAATAAGCATTTTATACAGGTAAAGAAACCAGGACAACAAACACCACACTTAGACGAGCCTAAACAAAATCCTGGCCAACAATGGATTAGGCCAGCATGTAGATAAAGCCAGCATACACAAACAAAAAAATTGCATGCCCCCCCCCCCCTCTTCTCCCTACACCCCCGGGGCACGTAGCCATGTACAGTGGAGTTGTGTTGTTTTTTTATTGTTGTTGTTTGTTGAGACGAGCGCGCGGAGTTAGACAAGTGAGTGATGAGGCACTAGAGGTTTTAGCATAAGGAAACGGGAAGTGTTGGCTAGCTGAGGGCGAGTGGAAGGGGGGGGGTGTAAGTAATGTAACGGGGAGAGATGAAATCCTTATAATGTGTGTCTAAAATGGGTAATTAATCACATAGATCGCATCGCACAACGAATCCGTCATTCTTTCTTTTACCCTATACATCCTGCATACATACATACATATATAACGCTTGAGGTATTTCTTCAAGTACGTCAACATATTCATATGTAGTTTATATATATATATATATATATATATATATATATATATATATATATATATATATATATATATATATATATATAATAGAAAGGAGCGGTAATAAGTTAGTAACGCCATCACACATTCGACTCGGTCTGGCGTCCTCTGACACTTACAAATGGAGCACGTGAAAAGAAAGCGGCCAGCGCCGGTCACCGCCTGATTTCAAATTCAGTCACCGTTTCTGATTGGTGGCTCGGCCATCCATCTCACCCAATGCACTGATTCAGCAGCAGCCCCCCCCCCCCCCCCCTCCATTTATTCAAGAGTGGTGCAATATAGATTGGTCAACAGCTGAAGAAAAGGGGAATGAACTCGTGACTTTTACGTATAAAACTGGCTCAGAGATGCATGGGCTGATGATTGTAGTTGTGCTTGCTCCCATTTATACCAGCTGTAGATTTGTATCATTGTACACCCCATGCGGATCATCTCAACGACAGAATCGTTGAGCCTCTCTCCGACTGTGTCGCTGAGAATAAAACCCTTTGGTGGTTTCTCAGTCAACACTGTCGTTGAAAATAAAACAATAATTAAACATGCTCTCCACAATTAAGAAAGCATAAACTGTAGGTGTTTTGAAGCTAATATTCCAGCCATTTTGTTTTGACGAGAGCTAGTCCAGATCTAGACTAGATCTAGATCTACTTGATCAACGATTTACACTGATGTAAAACCTACAGCCTACGTAAATCAAATCTACAAGATCAGGATTTACATTTAGATCTAGAAATCTACATTATTGACTAGAGAGAAAAAGTTAAAAGTATGCCTAGTGCGTCGAAAGTAAATGATAGAATCTAGATCTAGAAAATCTAGTAATTTTTCAGTAGCACTAGCTAGATCTAGTCTAGATTGACTAGATAGAAAGATAATTATTTCTGTGGCATAGCTGTCCTTTAGCATTTAGGATCTAGATCTAGAAGTCTAGATCTACTCAATTTTAAATCTCTTCTATTTCAAATTGTTTGTAGATCTATATCTACAAGATTAGGCTTAGGTCTAAAAATATACTAAAGTTAAAGCTACACAAGTACTACACATCATTCCTAAACTTAATGCCATTAATGGCTAAAATTCACTGAGCATTGTTGCACTTAAGACTTAAACGTAAGGCCTAAATAAATACTAAATAAAATTATTACGTTAGCTTAATTTTCGTGACAGCTTTTCTCTTCTTTTTTGCCATGCTTAATTTAAGTCACTTTCATGTGCTGGTAGCTTAAAATAAAACTTGTTTAGGAAGTTTATTTCTTTCTCCCTTTCATAATGCTGCAAATATGAGTAAGACGCTTATTATTATAATTAAATAGCTGCGATAAATAATCATTTGCATCTTTTTGGGGGTATTTCTTTTACATGAACTGTGAAATACGGTATCTCTAATTTTGCGCATAACTCAAAGCGAAATATTACTCGCTCAACTGCTCATATTTAAAAAATCTGGTATGTCGAGGCACTAGAATGTTGAGGTACCACAGGATCTACTATGTATTGAAAGAAAACATAAATTAATTATAGAATAATAGGCAAATATAGTAATAAAGTAGGCCTTATAGCTTTAGATTTTATTCAGCCTACTAATAAATAATTAAATAGGCCTAAAGTAGTACTAGATATTAGTTAAATCACTAGTATTGTGTAGGGTTATTTTTATTAAAAAAAAACAGATCACATCTTATACATTAAGGCGGGCGCAATAAAATAAAAATAATTTATTTAGGACCTAGGCCTATCTTTTGGAGATCTAAAATTCTAAATGAAAAATAAATTATTAATTAGACCAACAATAGGCATAGTATGCTAAATCTATTTTAGTATTTAAATTTAAGGCTCGGCCATCTACTAAAAATTTTATAAATGTCATAAAATGGCCTACTTAATTATAATTACTAATTACTATTAGGCCTAAGTTTAAACTAGAGATAGCCTATTTTATTAGTAGAAAAAGTATTAGTCATAGTTAAGATGGTATAGCCTTATGTAAATTAATGTAATCAGTGTTAGATATTATATAATATCGGAAAGGGGCCTAGCACTCTCTTAGTCATTAGTCTATTAGGTCTTACAAGTAATTTAGCCTATTTATATATTATAGGGCCTATAGGCTGTTATTTAAATTAGGCCAAAGGCTTATTAGGAAAAGGCTTAATAGGCTTTAGTTTTTAATTAGGCAACAAGGCAGAGGCTTAATGTTGCTTATAGATTTAATTTGAAATTATTATGATATACGCTACTCTGCGACTATCACTATAGACTGCTATAGAGTATATTATAGCCTAGGCCTATCTAAATAAAATAATTCAACTCACTTAGCTTACTATAATTTTTAAAAATGTTTAGTTAAGTATTCAGCTCTCTATGTCAGCTAAGGCCCATAATTGTAATTATCCTACTGTTAGATCTATTAATTATTTAATAATTAGTAGGCCTAATTATAGGAATTAGGTCTGATACATTAAGTCCTATACATTGGTCGTAGAGTAATACTATTGGGCTAGTAATTATATACAATATCTATACAAGCCTACTTATCGTTAATTTGGAAGTCTTTGCATTGACCTTAGTTTTCAGATGTAGCAGCCTAATTTTTATCAGATTATACCATAAAATCAAAAGTAGACTTGTAGATCTTTTTAAAACAAGGCATGAAATATTAATTTAAATAATATAAATTAAACAAATAGCCTAAATAACAACTACACAAAGTTAAAGTCATAATAACTTTTTATAAAGGTATCTTGAATTTCAACTGGAGGTAGTTTTGATAAATATTAGTATTCTGAACATTAAAATAGGTAGACTTAACATACATTTGTTCTGAAAACATATTTAGAAATTGGTTTTAAAAAATGAGGTTAGGATTGGGGGGATAACTAGTTGAGGATTAGATATGATATTCATTGTGTTTATCCATGTTGTAATTTCTCTTTTACAGGTTCATCCAAAAAAAAGGGAAGATCTGATTTTTACCAGTAATAAGACTACAGCATACTAAATGACACAAGATGTTCTTTCTCTATTACCTCTTACATTTGACATAAAAGTAGGAAAAGGTATGACAATTATTAATAAGCTGCTTTAAATTTTATAATTTGTTTTTTTATAACTTAATTGTACCATTTTTATTTCCAATAATGATAAATATAATTTAGTGTCATTTATATTTTAAAATATTTATATTATACTAGATATAATTTACTTCTATAATATTACTATCCAGGTTTAACAGTCTATGCCTACATAGATCTCCAGGACTAAAAGTACACAAAATGGCAATCAGTATATCACAAGTGTAATAACACATGCATCTAATCTGCTTCAGTGGCGAGAACTGGGTGAATCCTCTCAAATATTAATCAGGTAAGTTATCACAAGTTTGCTTTGGTTTATTTTGAACATGTTGATTGAGATAGATTTTTATTTGTATAAATATTGTATTTAAAAAAATATTTTACCTAGTAAAACCAAGTCAGTGGTGATGATTGATACAATATCATTATGTATTTTTTTAAATATTTGTTTTGCAAAATATGCTGATTTGCAGGAAGGATATATATATATATATATATATATATATATATATATATATATATATATATATATATATATATATATATATATATATATATATATATATATATATATATATATATATATATATATATATATATATATATATATATATATAAAACAGTATCATTTAGTGGTTTGTCTTACAAATTTGAATTATTTACTTAATCTGTCTTAACTGCTCAACAGGAACTAGGCATACCTAATGAGCGTCAAGCTGATACAGTAGATGTACAGAAGAGTTTATACACAAGGTAAATATTGATAAATTTTAAGTTTTCTTTTTTTAAGGATACATGTAGTGTTTTGGGAGAAAGGAATTAAATTATTTAAATTAGGCCTAATAGTTTATTTCTCTAGCTTATGTTTCACTTAAAATAACTTAAATTTTTCCCCCTTTATCACTAAAGCAAAATTTTATAGATATCTATGCCATGATTCATCTCATTCAATCACTTTTTTCTTGTTTTGTTTTGATGTATTAAACTAATTTAATAAACTAAAGATTTTTTTTTTTTGCTAATTTTATTATTTCAGATGGATGATTAAGAAAATCATTTTGTTTTGTTTCAGGAAGTGAAAAGTGATGTAAAAGGCAACTAATACTTCCATCTACCATAGTTAAACAAGAATCTGCAAATGGTGATAATTGCAATAATCTTGATATATTAATGTTTGGCTTTATAATTATATGCAATTGTTTCATAAATAAATTATTTCTCAAAATTTGATGTTTTTGGTTTTCATACTTTGTACATAAGATGCAAGTGATTGAAAGCTGAAAAGGGTTGTATGTAGTTATAGTATTCCCAGCACAAGTTGACATTAAAACAGCTGAAGCCCTTTAAAAAAAATAAAATAATCTAGGAATGCTGTTTCTATTAGCTGAGCATATATTTGGAAAAGAACTTAATTGTTTACCAGAGAATACTGTGACCCAGTTTGTACTCCAGGCAAAAAGTGTCTATGGTTAATATTATTAAGTTAAAGAAAAAAATATCAAACAAACAGGATAATATTAATAAGCAAGACCTCCACACTAGAGAAGTATGGAACGAGTGTTGCATGGAATTCAAATCAACTTTGATGTTGCTAATTGCTACACTGGCCATAATTGGCCTACATTGATTTTTGCTGAGGTAGGCAACTGTTTTTGTTTAACTTTAGATGTCGACTAAATAAAGAAGAAAACTGACACGCCAATACCAAAATCAAGAACTTGTAAAGTTCGTGGTTGCTAAACCGAGAAGTCCTGAGTTCAATCTCCCGTGTAGATGAGGCTCTATAGTTGGGGATAGCAACCTATCTTGGGGATACAACACTTGTTCTTGGATTGACAAAAGATAAGAAAAGAAATCCGGAAAGAAAAGCAGCTGAACGAAGAAGAAAAAGGCTGGATATATTCGGTATCAACTGCACAATTTTAACAGACACACATTTCAAACTACACATGCATTTCAATGACAAAGTTCAGTGAAGCCATAATGTTGAGTTTGACTGAATGAAGAACGATATTGTTATTTCAAGCAAAGTTAAGGTTTATTGTCTTAAAGACATTGTCGTGGATTGATTTAGACTAAGACTTCCCTGTTAAATAAGCCGACAACGATGGCTCTTTTTATTTCTCGTCTTATTTCTCGTCTAGCCCTAACCTTAGCCCTAACGCTAACCCTAACCTTAGCCCGAACGCTAACCCTAACTCTAGCCCTAACTCTAACGCTAACCATAACCCTAACCTTAGCACAAACGCTAGCCCTAGCCCAAACTCTAACTCTAGCCCTAACTCTAACCCTAGCCCTAACCCTAATCCTAACCCTAGCCGTAACCCTAACCATAATCTTAACCTTAGCCAGAACGCTAACCCTAACTCTAACCCTAGCCCTAACGCTAACCCAAACCCTAACCCTAGCCGTAACCCTAACCCCAGCTGTACCTTAAGAGGTGTGTGCGTGGGGGGGGGGGGGGATGTCCTCCTTGGCGGGGGGGGGGGGGTAAATGACAGGGGGTAATTGCTTCAGGGGGGAGAGAACTAATAATCTGTAAGTCCTACTATTCAATACATTTGGTTAACACAATGTCGTCACACATGTAAAACAAAATAAGCAGTGTTTTTATTATTTGTATCCTTAAAAAATGCAAAATAAATGCTACGCCATTAACTCAAACCTTCTTTTTTCTCGTTACATATCGTCACATAAAGCCACCGCCCAAAATGATGGTGACGTCAATATACAATCATAAAGTGGTCACCCATTAACCACGACTCACTCTTCAGACGATTTTGCACCAAACCACCCTTCTCTAATTGTAACCAATTTTCACAAAAAGCCAGATCTTCGCTTATCCCCCTCCCCCACCACCCTCTTTAAAAACACTACACCTCAACACATAACCCCCTCCGCCGCTCCCCTGAAACTGCATTTTTACTTTCTCGTATATACGAAGTATAGAGAAAGTCTTGTAATCGTGCAAAAAAAAAAATCGAGATTTTTTTACAAATCTCGACGTTTTACACCTCACTGATACGGAAAAACATAATTTCGCAATCTTGTCCGTATGTCTGTGTCTGTGTGTGTCTGTGTGTAAACACGATTACTTGAGTACCCTTACAGCTAGGTTGATGAAATTTCATATATAAGTATTTTATCAAAATCATAGATCCGTATAAACTTTTGAGTGATTTCCGATAACCGAAAGTGTGGTACTTTTTCTACTTTGAATTTTTCAAAAGCCTATAACTTGAGTACTATTGCAGATAGATAAATGAAATTTCACATGTAAGTAAAATATCTAATTCTCTACCTTCTGTCAAATTTTGAGTAATTTCCGTTGACAGGAAGTACTAATTTACGCTATTTCCGATTTCTCAAAAAACGCACGTAAATTTATAAAGTACTAATAATGTTGCGCACTATTATGCACATCTTTATTTGACGTTCACTTGGTGTGCAATTCTTTTTTCTACGAGGTTTTATTCTATTTTAAAAAGTTTAAGTATTTAAAATGGATTAAAAATCATGTCTATATCCCGAGTTGCCATTCCCCGTAGTGTTATATTAGAATATTCGAGAAAGTTTAGGGGAGATCACTCCCGGTTTATTATAATATGTACTGACCTCGATAAACATTGAGTTAATAAATGAATTAATACCAAAAGCAATCTTTTAAAGCCCGAAATAACGGATGAAAGCAAAAATGTGTCGTCACACTTTCCGATCTTCCCTTCCCATAAATGAAAAAAAAGCCTGAACATACTAAAGGAGAGTATGAATGTTGATGGGGGATCCCAACGTTAAAAATTAAAGCAGCGCAAAATTTCAGGAATCCATGTTACATATTATTATTTTCCGTAGGTATAACAAAGGTATTTACATTGTGTTTTATATTTTACGAGCCGCTATCATACGCCGCTATTTTGTTGTTTCATTTTCTACTTTTCAGTAATTCATAATTTGTGAATTTGACAGTAACAATGCTGCCACTGAAAATATTTGCTTTAAAACACTATCAGTAGCTCGTTAAGGACGATACCCCCCGTCCCCACCCTCCTTTCCCAAAAATCCTACCCCTCCCCCTCCTCGTGAAAGCAGCCCCCTCTGAGTTACCTCCACTAAGTTTAAAATCGTTTCAAACTAAATTATCTGCCCCTAATAGCTGTCACTAAACCCGGCTCTACGATTGTAAACATTTAGCTTGAACCACAGCTCACCAGACCATGTAGGGATGGGGGTGGTAGGGATAGAGAGAAAGAGAGGGGGCTGCTAGGGGCGCTTACAGCTTGGTGTTTTCTATGGTATCCATGAAGAGAATTATTTATATAGAAGAAATATATATTAAACCAGCGTACCCGTCCCGCGCGTTGCTGCGGTCTCAGAAGACAGAATGACGCAATATTTTAAAAGGATTCCATAATTACATTAGCAATCACGTATTTTTTTACGCTTGACATTGATTTCTAAATCTAAACAATTTAAATGTAATCAAAGCCGGTGTTATATTGCTTTCATCATAGTTGTTGAGGCGCAAATTCTACCGCACACAGTAGCCCATTGTATCCATAATGTATCGCACTCTTTAAACGAACGTAGGCGCAATAGTGTTTATGAGGGACCCACACAGGGGCGCTAGACCACACGCCAGTGGTGCAGTAGACAAAAAAATTTCCCTACTGTAGGGCGCTCTTTTAAAACTCATAGTGTTCCTCCCGAAGCCAGTGGCGCATCGGGTCAAACGAATTGTCATCGAATGTCGTGTGCCACAGGGTCAATATTGTAGAGTGCTCTTTAACACAACCTTAGGATATCTCAGGGCGCCAAATCGCTTCCTGCCGGGGAGCCGGCAGACGCGCCTGATTCCATATAGTCAAAAATTATTGTTGCCCATCGTGTCTTTAGTGTATAAATTTAAAAAAAAAACGAACGTAGGCGTCATAGTGTTCACATGGTAGCACGGGGCGCTTCGGGTTACGTAATATCCGGGGCGCCGGCGGCTGCGCCTGTTGTTGCTTTTTTACCTTAACCCCCTTTATATATATATATATATATATATATATATATATATATATATATATATATATATATATATATATATATATATATATATATATATATATATAGCTACATTTGGTGACTTCCCATTTTCCCCAATGGCGTCAAATTTTGCACATAATCCAACTATTAATTCATGTGAAAAAAAGCATCGTTTTCATCGTAAATTATTAGATTTTGGTATCAGCCTCTCTCCGGTCGTCGCTTAGCAAATCTGTTATCCAAAAATTCAACAAGCATGTATTCACCTGTACATTTTGCAGTTTGTGTCATCTCCCCTCACCCCCCCCCCCCCCTGAATGATAGTTTTTAAACGTGCACAGTTAATTGTATATTTTTTATCTGCAGTCAGTTATTAGTACAGTTAACTCTCATTAGTCATTTATTGAACTGGCAAAATGCTTACTTCTTCTATATATTTTGCTATTTTTCGCCATAGTGTCACCCCCGAAATTTTGCCACCTTGCGCAGTCCTCAGCCCCGCCCCCCCCCTCCCCAACCTTGTGACGCCTCTGGTTAGGGGTACTACTTGAGTACAGTAAATATGTATATGTATATATATATATATAAATATATATATATATATATATATATATATATATATATATATATATATATATATATATATATATATATATATATATATATATATATATATATATATATATATATATATATATATATATATATATATATACATATATATATCGGGGGGGGGGTATAGCCCCTTGGCACACCTTGTACCTACGCCACTACATAATCATGTTCTTAAGATTATATAGCACATTCTATGTATAAATTCGATAAAAATAGCTATTACGTATTCTGCAATTTTATATTTGTAATAACATATTGTAAACGAAATGAGTCTTAAATTCGATTAAAAAATGGGCCTTTATATTATGTATTTTTTCTATTTTGCAATCATATCATGTATTACTTGTTGTATAGCCTAGATTCTATAATAATATACTAATATATTCTATATTACATAATCCTATATTATATCGTTTAGTAATCTCTACCCTAATGTTTTCTATACCGAATAATCAATATTCTGTAATTCTAAATTGTGTATAAATTAATCATACAATCTCTAAAATTAATCATAACTATGATCACAATTAAATTCAGCAATCCACTGTATTAATTTATATTGCTAAAAATAATTTAATTTTCAA